CTCATTGATAAGAGGAGAAAGTAAACAAAAAAACAAAAAACAGAATGCTTCTTGGACCTGTTGTAGATACCATTCTAATAATGGCGCAAGAAAATATCTCTTTCCGTGAAAATTGAGATAACCGAAGCGTAATTTTTTGCTTTTTTGTTTTTTTTTCTGATTAAGGTGCCCCAAAAAGTCCTTACGGTCTTATCACAGAGCACCGCGGAAGAGCATTTAATAGGAAGTTCACGCCTCCTTCCCAACCGATGTCGAAAAACTTGCCCAGTATGAAATTTATATTTATATTAAATCAATATTTTTGTTGATTAAACTGAAAGTGATGGTTATTTCAAAATTATTTGAATAATAGAGTTTTTTTTTGTCTAATAACTTTATTTTTTGAGCAAAACGCTAAAAGAATGAATGTATTTTATTATCTATCTATATCTAGATATAATAAAGAGCAAAGTTTATACTTTGCAAAAAGGTTGAAAGCTTTAATGTAACAAGAGTTAGTAAAATACATGCTTCTGCAAATGTTTTTACTGAATTATTGCCTATGAAATTAAAACATTGTGCATGATAAGCCAATAAGAAAATCGTAAAATATCTAGCAGAGTATATGATTTGTACCATGCAGTCACGCAACCAAATTTTATTGCTTTATCCTTAGCGTTTTGAGCAGTCATGCTTATTCCAACCATTATAATCTTCACTCCAAACTAATAAAGATATTGTTCAAGTATTGAAATTGATTTTAAATGTAGAATGTGCACTAAAGAATCTCCGTAATCCTTTCGGTGAACTCTGAATTGATATTTATATTAATTAAAAAATTGAAAACTGAAATAAAGTCACCTCGTGCTTCATCAAGTTGCACACAAAAAGTAAATGTTTTGTTAACAAATGATGAAGATTATCACTATAGATTAATTATTACCGCATGAAAATGTTTTATCTAATGATTTGCTTCTTTGTGATATGGAGCGTCGTTTTAATGTACATCAAATGACTATGATCGGAATGATGTAAAGTAATTGAAGAACCAGATTGGAAAGGAAAATTCTTAATATGGAAGCAAATGGTGATAGTAAGAGAAGATAGTTTTTGACCTTGCAATGGTCTTTCTGTTTGCCTTTTGACTAATCTGATTTGATTTTCAATCATTTGCGTACTTTTTTAGATTATATGAATTCTTTTTTGTAGTAAAACGTTTTTTGTTGAACATGCTACAGAAAAGATACGTTGCCAAAATTTAACAATATGATATCCTAAATTGAGCCCCCTCCCTGAAAAACACTCCTGGATCCGCGTCTGAACCACATCTAGTTTTTCACGTATCTAAATAAATTTTAAACCACATAGTTACGTGTATCGCATCATGTGTTCCGCATGTGAAACTGACCAATCATAACCAAGATCAGAGTTTCACACCTTCATTCCAAGCGGAATAAAAATGTGAAATTTTATACACTATGGTCACATATACTTTTTTTCAAGATTGCATTTGATTTTTTTGAAGTTTTTGTTTGATATTGTTAATAGTTAATTAAGTTTTTTCATTTGCATCTTTAAAACTTTTAGGAGTTTCTTGATAAAAATTATGTCTGATTTATAAATTACATCCTAATCAATATTCTATTTAAATCTGTGAATTAGGGGAGAGTTGCCTTAATTGGAACACTTTAGGAATAAATATTTTTCAACCAAAGATGGCTTAACTATGAAAACATTTATGATTTGATTAATACAAACAGACAACTCTACTATACTTTTAACCATAATTTGACTCAATTGATTATTGTAAATAAATTTGTTTTTGGAAAGATACCATTTTGTTCCAATCAAGGCAACTGGTTCACTAAATTGGAACGCTTTTATTCCTTAATCAGAGCAGGTTGTTTTTTTTTAAAAAAAAACAACAGTAAAATCAATAAAAATTGATTTAAAATGATTTTTATCTCTAAAGTGAAAATTTAAATAACTCTTTCAAATTTTATAAGATGATTAACATTACCCTGAAAAACTGAAAGTCTACTAACTAAAAATTGAGTAAAAAAAAAATTAAGGAAAACTTTATTGTTTCAATCAAGGAAACTTTAGACAATTTTGTTATATCGCTGCAATATCATGATTGCAGCAATTTATAAGATAAGTTTAAATGTTATTTTGCATTTTAAATCCCATCGAACTAAACACAAAAAACTGTATAACCTATCGCAGTATAGTTTACCCAGCGCAATTAATATAGTGTGGACATAAAATTAGATCACCGAAAAAAAAAATGACACAAAAAAACTTCAAATCAATGGCATTTTTTGAATAATAACTTTCAAAATGTGTCAAAACGTAAAAACTGTGTTTTACTAAAAAAATGCAAAATATAGCCATAATTCATTTTTTTATTTTTCAGAAATAAATGCAAGTGTTCCAATTAAGGCACTGTCCCAATTATGGCAACTCTCCCCAAATATTAATTTAAATTTAAAATTAATTTTTTAATAAAATTTTTTCTTTTTTATGCAAAATCTGCTATTTTTCTTTTTCTTTTTTTCTTTTCAATCTGTTTCTACTTTGTCAATTTAATACGTTTAATAGCTTGACTTTTCTTCAACCTTATCAAATTTAGTTATGGCACCTTAATATCATTAGAACAAATGCATAAAGTGTAAATTCCAATTATTGTTAACTTTCTTACATGGAGCATTTTCATCAGCACAAAGTAAAGTAGCACCTACATTTGGCAGCCTACGAATTGTTCAGCTTACCTTTTCACAGTTTAACAAATTTTTTTTTTGTCTTTTTTGTTAAAGTCTTATTTTACAGCGTTTTTTGAGATATGACTACCAGCTAGCACATATACGTTGATAAAAGGTTTGAACAATGTTGCCAGTTGTGTTGGCACAACATCGGTCGCCAACGGTGTTTTTATATATTTATGGTTTTAAATGTGGCGTCACCAACATCAAAAAACAACGTAGGCACAACAGTTTTAAGTTCCAAACATTCATTAATTTTATAGACATCAGTTTTTTTTCTTAAGGTTCAATACTTTAATATAATTGATATTCATCAAAGATTCTTTTTTTAATTATACAATTTTGTAATCGCTCAGCTGGCTTGTCTTCATTAGATTAAGGTTGATCCTTATACATTAAACCAACGTTTGTAAAAACAATCAACATTTGCAAAGTTTTTACATACGCTGTACCAATGTAACTGCGCGAGCTGTTTAAAGTTGCCTCGGTATTAATCTTTTCATTGGTATCATTGCTAAACACGTGATATAGGATCATCACTAGATTTGTACCTAAAAAAATAGCAAAATTGTCCGAAAGAAGTAAAAGATAAAAGTTTTTCTAGATAAGTAGACCTTTTAATAGGACATCTCTCAATGTTGGAACTTTAGTTTCTAGCAAATCGTACATCTACTCCATTATATTTATTCAAATAAGTTGTAGTAGAACCTCTAATTTGTTTTAATTTTAAACTCTTCTCAACATAATATTTAATTTTGTTTATTACTCGCTGTCAAATAAAACTATTTATTGTATAAAACCACTAAAAAATTTCTAAAAAAGTCCTAACGTTTTAATTTTTTTTTTAAGTTAAATCTTGCTTAACATACTCCAAACCATTGTAACATTATTCCCCAAATGTCATTTTTAGAAAAAAATGTGTTGTTATACATGATATACTTTAGTGTTATAACGGTCAGTAATGTACAGTAGTCAAAAATGCGTGAAATAGCGAATCATGTTTTATTTCTCTAATTTAATTTAAGCAAGAAATATTTTATACTTTATTTGCTCTTTAAACCTAAAAATTAAACACCATTTTTCAAAATAAAATTAAAATAACACATTTTTACACGCATTTTCAGGATAACCAGCGTAAAAGACGCCTTTTAGTCTGTCCATTAATTACGTCAACATAATAGGGGGAGGGGGATCTAAATTTTTTTGACAATTGTCAAAAAAATTCAGATCAACCTTGTCAACAGTTAACTCTTGACAAGGTGACACTTTACTTTTTTTTTAAAACATTACTTTTTTTTATTAATTTAATTTTTTTTTAAAAAAAGGAAAATTAGGCAGCGTTTGCAGCCCTGTGTTGCATACTTGCTCAAGCCTAATAATAAATAAATAATTAATAAATAATTAATAATAATAAAGCTATTTATATACCTACTTTGTAAAAACCTTGTTGTGCTTTAATAAGACCCGACACATACAGAACTAAATAACTACAAATGGAAGTTTGACAAATTGTTGACAAAATGGAAGGGGAGATAAAAACTGCTAAAAAATTGTTGACGTAATTAATAGACAGCTCCTTAGTATAGCCAGCGTCGAAGGTCAAAAAGGGTATGTAGTGAGTTAAATATCAAATAAACTGATTCCAAATCAATATGCAGGTGTTTATATTTAATTAAAAAGACTATTTTTTCTAAATTTTATTTACAAGTTTGGAGAACTTTTGAAAGCAGTCTGGCATCATTACTTTTACATGCTTTTCATTTAATTCCTATTCACAACAATTCTTGAAACAATTCTTGCAATCAATTACTTCCAAAGTTATCAAATGGAAGTCAATATGCCGAGTAATTATATCTTAAAAATTAGTAAAATTAGTTTACATCTACCCTGGTTACTTTAAAGTGACGAATTGTATTAATTCAGAGGCATTATTTTAATAATTCAGAGAGAAAGATTTTTTTATCATTATTATTATTATATTATAGCTGTAGCCGTAAAATATACATACCATATATACATATAATTCGAGAAAAAAAATGCTCTGCATACTTTCTTGAAGTTTTAAAAATTGTTGAGGGTTAGAAATGAAGTTAGGCACGTTTTAAAAATAAAATAATTTGGAATTTATTTGCATTTTAAAGCATTTCTGACCACTCTGTAATAGTTAAATCTTCCGTACTTCATTTTTTCGGCACCAAATTTTTTTATCGCTACGGAAAAAAATAAAAAGTACGGAATTAAAAAATAATTGTATTGTATACAATTTCAGAAATAAAACGGAATTTAAACGGAAGATATTTATAAAAAAAATTATTATAAATATTGAATTCTAGTTGGGTTTGGTTTAATTCGCACAAGTATTGATAAAAAGTTCATGTAATAGAAATTTGTTTTATTAAAATGGTTGAAACAGAAAAAGCTAACATGGATGTTAAACAAGCGAATACGAGTGTTAAAGTATGATTTTTATTTGTAGTTGAATATTTATTAGCTAAATGTAAATAAATTTGATAAATTTTAGCGTGGATAAATTAATTGTATACAGCATTATACTGTTTGTATTGAAATACTGTAATATAGTAGTACTTAATGTAGAAACGTGGCAAAAAAAAAAAAATTTGTGGTATTAAATTCTAAGATATTATTAGAAGAACTAAAGAAATGATACCAAACTTTTTATTATTTGATATCATTTAAGAAAGTTAAGAGTTTTTTAAACATAAATTTAAATAATTTTTAAACACAAAAGTTAAATAATTGTTATCCTAATTTGTAATTATAAACTTAAAACAATTATAATTTCCATAAAAGTGATTTATGTAAGTTTGGTATCAATTGAAAGCTGAATAAAGTAAGAAACATTGAAGTAGCAGGGGTAAATACAATATGCCTGGGGTGCATAGGGGTACCTCTGCAACTGTCACCTGTCCAAAGTGGACACACTTTTTTGTAATTGACAATATAAATTGACGAAATTGATAGTTTATTTGTTGATAAACTAGTAATTAATAGAATGTTAAAGAAAGCATCAATCACCTTTACGCTAGCAAGAATGAAAGGGGTATATTTAGTGGTGTATATATTTGGTAGGTAAGGAAATAAATAATATCAAAAGTGTATGTTTTTAAATAAAATAAATACGCGTGCTGTAAATAAAAAAAAAAGGTGTCTATACAAACTACCAGTTAAATTCAATTATTTTGTGAAAGTTAAAATTAAAAGACTTTAGGCCAATGTTTTTTAAAAGATATTTGGCTATGAAAGTCTGCAGCAAGTTCATATTTTAAAATGTTATAATCCACTGTGTTATTACCATTTGAAAAATAATTGTATCTTTCTGGTAAGCTACTTTTCGTAGTAGTAAGCTACTTTCATTTTTTCAGGTTTTTCAAAATAAAGAACTTATTCTTGCAATTCTGAGTTAAATTATAAATGGAAAAATGTTTTTAAATAACTAAACTAAATGTTTTGAATAACTACTGTATCAGATACCATATTAAAAAGGTCTGATAGTTGCTTAAACTCTAGTTTTTAAAATGCTCTTGAAATATCTGACAAACTAAGGTTTTGAATTTAAATGGCCAATGTATTTCTGCTTTTATCCTTCTTTTTTTTTTTTGCTTCTATAATGTATTACAAAAAATTAGTTCAAGCTTTATTTCAAAATTATTTTTTAACTTAAATCTCTCTTTTTTCTGGCTTTGTTTATTGCCCAGTATGCAATTTTTATTTCTTCATTTTTATCTCATTTTTTAATGTAATCAATTCCATTTTTTTTATTGTTCTTAATTTTGATGACTAAAAACATAAATTAGTGCTCGTGACTTCCTCTGCATCAATATTATGAAGCTGTCTGTTTGCATCTCTTTTATAATATTAATTTTATAAGTTGTTCTGATAGTTTTAGATTAAAATATTTTTTATACTGTCTTCCAAAAACAAAAATGATAGCTGATAAACAATCATCTGTTCAACTTTTTTGACTTGTTGGCACACTAAAGCTGTTGCTTCAAAAAATCATTTTCAATTATATATCCAAATAAATCTTTTGTACTTAATAAAAACATCTTTTACATGATAAAGGTTCTTTTCACCAATTTTATTTCTTTAATATGACTTTAATTTCCTGTAGCTGACTGATAAAATAAAGTTATCCATGGCTTTGTTAAAGTCTTTCCTAATTGCCCTAATTAATAAATTTATTTTTTAGCTGTTTTTTTATTAAAGTCTATTTCTAAACAACTTTGAAGCCATCTATATGAAAATGTATTGGTGCTTAAAATTTTAATTTTAAGCACCAGTTCAGTTTTAACAGTTTTTAACAGTTTTATATTTTAACAAGTAATAGTACTGGATAAATATACCACATATATGTAAAAAAATATGCAATCTGTTTCCTCTGTAATGGGGAAAGAATCTTTTGGGGAGTTCCATCTCATCTGAAAAGATTTTAGGTAGTTGATAGATACTTTTTAAACAGTTGATTATATTTAAAAATGTTTTTGCATAACTTTTAAAGTTTTTATTTGTCAGAAAACTTAAGGTTATACACTATTTTGTATTTCTTGACCAAATTATATCTGGTTATGAAGGGGATAAAAATCAAACTTTTTATAAATGCTTTAGGCAGTTTTTAAAGTTGACTTTGTTGCATATACAACAAAAAAAAATGTAGCATTTATTATGGCTAGCTGTCTGGATCAGTAAAACACATTTCTTGGTAAGTCTAATCTACACCAACCATTTCTATACTTAATCCTAACTTCAAATATTTTTTAGTAAGTGGTAGAAAATCTATAAATATTGTCTACCTTTTAAAGTTTTGGATGAAAAAAAAATTATAACTTAATTAACTTTTAAATTTTTAAAATGTTTTGGTAGTTGTTGCACAAACTGCTATTTATCAGCAGTGGTTAACGCACTTGGCTCAGAAGCTAGAAATCTTTGGTTCAACACCACCTATGGGCAAGTTTTATAACATCAATAAGGAAGGAGGCATGAACTTCCTTGCAAATGCTCTTCTGCAGTTAGAACTTCCTCTAAATAAATAAATAAAATTAAAAAATAAACTTGCGTTTCTTTAATGGAAATTATAGGCGATTGCTAGTTTATTGTGTCTTTATGGAGTTAGAAACTTCCTGCGAATGAGCCTATTTTCAAACAATATAAAACTATTTCAAACTTATTTTGACAAAAATTTTTATGTTCTTTTAACAAAAAACAATTCAATTATAATGGGTATAAAAAATTTATTAAAAATTTCAAAAACATTTGAAGTTAGACATGGTGGAATTAGATATAGACATGTGGAACATTTGAAGTTAGACATAGTGGAGTTAGACATGGACATGTAGAATAATGAACGTACCATGACCCTTATAATGTAGGTCTATTCAGCACTGACCATTTCTTTGTTTATTCTTTATACAGTCTTCTTTGTTTGACAAGCGCTTTTGTGCTCTTGAAGTTTTGCACTCGCCCACAAATACTAAGGCTGGCGCTTTTTTAAGCGCTTGCCAAAAAATTTCAAGGATGTTTTTATTTTACACCAAATCTTTTTTTCAATCAAATTCTAATTAAAGAGGTACAAAAAACAAATATTTTTTTCGACAACTTGACCATGTAAGTAAGCATTTTAAGAATTTGCAGCAAAATAAAGCTATAAGAAACTAAAGAGAATAAAACAGCAATACTCAAAAAAAGAAAATGAAGACTATACTAAATAGAAAATCTGAATAAAATAAACTAAAAAAAAATTGAATATTAAAAAAAGAAAAATTTTGTCAAAAAGATAATATACCTAAATACTTTATTGTTTTTTTTTTTTTTATTTTTAGGGCGTTTCTTATTTTCCACTACCAAAATTGATACAAGTTGATGAAAAAAGCATATAAGAATATAACAAAAAAATAAATTTTTTTTTTATATACCACTTTTTCGCTACTTTTTTCATTCAGTATATTAAAGAAATACTATTATTTGCGCTAGAAATACAGACAATTTTTAAATTTGATTTTCAATTTTTTTTGTAAACTTTTTATTAATGCATAGAAAAGCAAGAAAACTAAATGCTATTTATTTGAATTTTTTTTTTTTTATGTAAAAAAATAAAAAGTCATTAATACTAATATTTAAATATGAAAGATTTGATTATTTTCACTTTGTCTTAACCTTTTTTTAAGTTTTTAAATACATCATTTTAAACAGAGCAATCGTTATGTTCATTATCACTAGTAATTCATATTAAGGTTAGAAATTAGGCAATATAAAAAAAAAGCAATTTAATTAGCAAATAAATAGCAATTTATTTTCTTATTTTCCTTTTATATAAGTAATAAGAGAAAAAACATCAAATATAGCTAAGACAATTTTAAAAGGGAAAAGACATGAAAATGAACAAATGTAAGAAAAAATTTAACAAAATTCCTCATAGTTCTAGCGTACATAGCATATTAGTTTCTTAAATATACAGACTGATAAAAATTACGAATAAATTGTATATCAAAGGTATAAATTGTTGTAAAAGATAATGTTTTTTTCCTCAAGTTGTATCAAACTCAGTGGCTAAAAACAACAAAGGCCCTAAAAAAAAGAGCGCAAAAGTTGTAAAAAAAAAATTTTTTATAATTTTTTTTTTTTTTAATTATTAAATATTTCTAGTTTATTTAATTAGAATTTGTTATTTGTTACAATTTTGTTTCCTTTTTTTAAGATTTTTTTCTCAGTAGATAGATTTAGCTTTTTGCAGTGAATTATTGAACACTTTAAAATTATTGAATTATTTAATGCTTTAAAAGTTAAAAGAATTACCATGGTCAGTGTGTCTTAAAAATGTAAAATCGTTTTTCCTATAATAAAAAAGTTGTCTTTGTAATGGGTGTTAAATGCACAAACTTAACTAATTACCTAAGCTCATCAATAACTTAAGTATCTATATCGTGACACTGTTTTGATATTTCGTGAAAAAGTTTTTAAAAAACTTTCTCTCTTGTTTGTATATAATATATAATATCTTTATATATGTTATGTAGATAACATCATTCGAACATTAAAAAAGTGGAAAAAATTAAGAAAGAAAAATTATTGTACAAGTGACAGGATTTGAGCCGCTGCATTATATTTAAAAGTGCAGTGAGCTAACCACTTTAGCCATAAAGACACACTAATCTACCAGTTTTTAACACTATGTAGTAAATAAAAGATGGAATAACTTTAAAAAACAGTAAATAAATGCTATAAAATCAAAATGAATGAGATATTGCCGCAATACTTTATAAAAGTAAAATTATTTATAGAACCACTGCATTTTAGTTTAGAACGCTGCAAGCTAACTAAGGTGTATTGTTTAATAAAAATTTTAAAACTATTTAATAAACAAAAGACTTTATAAAATGGCAAATAAATACTATAAATCAAAATTAAGGTGATGTTGTTGCAATGCAAATTTAAAGTAAAAGTAAATCTATAAAACTTGAAATATGTTTTACCATAATTTAAAGTTGACATAAGTTAGATATTTGCATACTTTTTCATTCATATTTTTTTATACAAAAAGTACTGTGACTCTTTCTTGCCATTAACTCTGGTGTAATGGCTGCCATGAATTCTGTGCAAACACACACAAATGAGTAATGACAGCAGCGGCAGCTGCAGCATTAGATAAGACATTAAAATATTATAAGATTATTATTTCTTATGTAAAATTGTCTATTAAATACTATTTTGCAAGCGTAATTTAAGAATGGTATATAGACTGATAATTTTGTTTGCCTTTTTCATCAACTTTTTTAGCTTGACTTTAATGTCATATATTTGTAAATACTTTATTGTATTTTGTATTGAAACAATTAAAATGTAAAGATTGTTAAAAACAACTACACCTATTCTTAAACCATCAACAATTTTAGTATTAGTGAAGCAGATGATGAACTTGGCGCATAAAAAATTCAGAAACACTTTTTTAAGTTAATTTCTAAACCAGAAAATACTATGAGTAGTAATACTGTATGTAAATACTATGTGTAAGTAATATACAATTTTGTACTTTAATACTATAATATAAAGTAATACTGTTTGAGTGTTTGTTTGTTTGTGTGTGTGTGTGTGTGTGTGTGTGTGTGTGTGTGTGTGTGTGTTTCTTTCTAGACTGTGTAGTACCTTTAATGATTACTGTCTAGTATTATGGTTAATTTACACTGATAAAAAATATAAATGATTTGTTTTTAAGTAATTCATATTTTTTATTAACGTCAATTTTTCCTAACATCTGGCCTTATATATATTTTTCTTTCAGCAACCATTAATTTTCTTTAGAATAAATACAAATACCACTTAAATAGTAAAAAAGTTTAAAGAATAAATATATGAAAATTTTTAATACATATATTTGTAATAAATTTTGTGCACAATTTATTTTCTTTTACTGCAATATTCAGACTTTTAACAGTATATCAGTATAACTCCTCTTTAGGATGTCAAGAGTTTCAGTAAGGATGTTTCTTAAGGATGTTAAAAGTTTCAGTAAGGGTGTTTCTTAAGGATATTTAATTCTTAAAAGTTTCAGTATTTGATGTCTCTGTAGATTTTCAACTTTAATAAATGTTTATTGTTTAATTATTTTCAAGAAATTCTTTATTGCTTTTTTTTTTTTTTTTACCTAGTTTTAAATAAAATAGAAAATATTATCTAATATCTAAAGTAAGTTAATCTTTTATATTTAATGAAGATTTATGGTTACTATGGTTACTAATGTGTTCTGTTTTGTTTTAGGTATACTTTAATGATAAATTTACTGTTGACTATGATTTGTGTATAAGCTTTTTCTTTTTAAAATAAATCTGTGTTTATTCTGAACATCTGTTTGTTTTTCTTTGTTTTTATTACTTATCCTCCTTTATATAAAAAGTTTTTTCAATAGAAATGTTTTATATTTCTCTGTAGGCTTTCATTGCTTAGTCTAGTTCAAGCACTGCAGATTGTACGCATCAATTATAACAAAAGTATTAATCTATCTCTGTTGGATAGAATTTGACTAGTGAGCAACGACTATCTTATTATACGGCAACATATACATTTTTTCACAGTATATACATATGCACAACATCAAAGTAACTCTATGCATAAATAATTTTAAACATCTTGTGGCAATACATTTTTTGAGCTGTCTTAAAATTAAATGTCTTTGTTTGATCTCATACTTTATATCTTTTGTATACGATACTACTTTTATGTGTGCTTCCCTATTTATTTATTTTTTCTGTGTACTTAAGCAACAGAACTACAGTTACATACATATTTGCTGTTTCCACGAAATAATATGTTTGTTTCTGGAATGTCTGAGCTAGCTTTTAGAACCAGAAGAAAATATAAATCCTATGCATAGATGTCAAATCCATCATAGGTAATTTGAAATATGGCTGGATTGACTAAATATGGTTCAGGGATAAATTTTTTATTCTGGTTTCTAGTAATATTAGACTCTATTGTACTAGAACATTTAATACTTATTTCAACAACCATTGGTATGTGTGTATATGTAAGTATATATGTATGTATCCATATATTTGTATAAATATGTAAAATTATTAGTTTTTAGGTTGTCATTTTTTATACACATATAATTTTTTTCCCCTCCCAATGTAGTTTTTGGAGATTGATGTTTTAGTAGTTTCGTTTTACTGTTTTTGTCATTGTTGCTATATTTTATATAAAACCTGCTTTTTTGATTGGTTAGCAACATTTAGCTATTTATGGCTGCGTTAAACTTTGTATGGTTTTGTTGTTTTTATAATTTTATATGTATTTCTATATCTTATCGGCTTGAGTTTATTTGTCCAATAAGAACCAATTTCAGCTACTTGTTGTGTTTATAATAAAGTTTTACTTAACAGCATTTATCACATTGGTAGTGCAGTTGAGTATTTTGTGGTTTTCTATTAAAATATAATAATTTTTATTATTTTATATTTACATTTAATCTATTGTTTTTTGTCATTTTTGGTAAAAAATTTTATTTATATTTTGTTCCATATATTTATCTTATTTAATTTTTATATATATATGTATATATATTTTATTGTAAAATTGTTTTATTATTTGGTATTGAACTCACATCTCTCACTATCCTCATTATTTCTTCAAAAATATTAGTGCTTTACAAAGTTGGGTGAAGTTAGGGTATTTGCTGTTTATAGTGAAGTCCTTTTTTACTGCAGTTTGGAGTAGGCATAAATCACGAAGTAAAGCATAAATGATGATGATGTTTATCTGATGGGTTTAACTAGGTATTGGTTCTGAGCCTCTTCCAAATGCCGGTAATAATTAACACGATTCTGAGGAGAAGCTTATTACCATCACTACATAAATTATGATTACACAAAAGCATTTATATTTTTTTTTACCTTATACCTCCTATCATTTTATATTTATTCATTTTTATTATTGATATACCTAAATGTATATTTATTTTAAAGTAAGTTAAACTTTTGTATTTAATGGAGATTTTTGGTTACTTATGTTTGCTGTTTTGTTTTAGGTATACTTTAACAATAAATTTACTGTTGACTATGATTTGTGTATAAGTTTTTTTTCTATAAAATAAATTTGTGTTTATTCTGAACATCTGTTTTTTTTCTTTGTTTTTATTACTTATCCTCTTTTATATAAAAGGTTTTTTTAATAGAAATGTTTCATATTTCTCTTTGAGCTTTCATTGCTCAGTCTAGTTTTATTAGCACCACAGATTACCTGTATCAAATATAACATAAATTTTGTGCACAATTTTTTTTTTACAAGTGCAATATTCAGACTTTATTATTCCTCTTAAGGATGTTTAGTTGTTGAGTTTCAATCCTCTTAAGAGTGTTTAATTCTTGAGCATTTCAGTATTTGACTTCGCTGTAGATTTTCAACTTTTATAGATGTTTATTGCTTAACTATTCTCGAGAAATTCTTTATAAATTTTTTGCTTTTTTACTTAAATATTTTGTTTAGAAATTATTATCTAATATCCAGATTTTTAAAGCGTAAATAAAATTAAAATGGTTATTAATTAATAAAAATTTTTACATCAGATAATGCGATCTGTTCTAAAGCTTTTTGTACAAATGTCAACTCCAAATTATTCAATGCCGTGGCAAATGAAGAGACAACAACAATCTAAAGGTTCTGGTTTTGTCATTTCAAATCGTAGAATACTTACAAATGCTCATGTAGTAGCGTACCAAAAGTCAGTAAGTACATATAAGTGTTGATATTGTTTTTTTTTTTTTTCATTTATGTTAATTTTTTCATACATTAGTTTTTGTAACCTAATATAGAAACATAAATATTTGTTAAAATTATTACTTTTTACTTAAACAAATAATAATTTTTACAGAATGAAATAGGTTCAAGTTAAATAATTAAGAATATATTTTTTAATATGATAAGGATTTTTTTTTTTTAAGAAACTATAAAATGCTATATTTATTTTAAAAAATATGCAATTTGATTTTTTTTTTTAAAAGAACACTAAAAAAATTAAAAGAACACTAAAAAAGAATTAATAGAACACTAAAAAAAATATTAAAAAACACTATCAAAAAAATCAAAAAAACTACTAATACACATCTTCATAGTTCCGATAATTTTGTGCGCGCTTTACTTACATTCATTTAAGTTTACATTCTTAGATTGCTTAACTGTATTTTTGCTGTCAGCATCTTTCAATCCCTCAAGTATTTAAAGTTTATTGAGACGCTGTCTTTTGAATCTTAGCACATCTTCATTTTTTATTATTTGTGTAAACATGTTGGATGAGAAAAATTTGTTGTAAAGCAGTGACAAGAGTTGGTGGTGATGACACTGGTATAGATTCTTGTGGTTTAAATGATTAAGTTTCATATTGAAATATTATCACTATATTGTGGTGATAGTATTTCAAACATATTTTATAGTTTATTTTTATTATTATTTATTTATTCATAATTTATAGATTTGTCTGATCAATTTTATTGATTTTAAATAAAAAGATTTTGCCATTTTGAAATCCAGTGATAATTTATGCACATTTTATACATTGGTGAAGTAAAAACTTCACCAATGTAAAAAGTTTTGACATAACTATAAACACCAACATCTAGTGGCTGCAGAATGTGTGACAAATTAGCTGGTAAGTATTTTAACTAGAGATGTGCCGGAACCAGTTTATGCGGAGTCCCTGATTCCTGGTACCTGGAAGAAAATACGAGGTCCAAGTCTGGGTACCCAGCACTGGGTCCATTTTAAATAGTTGGAATAAAAGTATGTGAAATCTCGAGCGCTGAATTTTTTACACAAAATAACAAAAAAAAGGAATAGCCAAATTACTCAGTCCCTGTGTCCAAACTGGGTACCTGGCACATCACTAATATTAACAAAATAATGTTTACAATCCAAATAAGTACAACCTTTTAAATAACAAGTTTTCATTTAAGACTTAAAATTCCTAAAATATGAATAATTTTTTTGTATCCATTTATTTGACTTATGTATTATATATTTATACCAAGTTTTAATTTGGTAATATTATTATATAATTTTCTAGTATTTTTTTAACACCTATTTTTAACACTAGTTTAAATTTTACTTGATTATAACGTAAAAAATACTAGGTGAAATAAATTAAACAGTTTTTTCAAATGCCAATAGTCTGTCTTGACTATGGTAGTCTTGACTACTGTACACTTAACTAACTTAAAAGTCATCATAAGTTTCTTAGGCATGACAACCAATCTTTTGTGTTAAATAATTTGTACATTAAAACAGTATGACTGCTGGCTATGAAAATGTCATGGAATTTCATTTGGTAATTCCTAAATTTTCTTTGAAATAAAAAAGTGACCAAGTGGCAATGGCTAAGCACATGGCAAGCCAAACAACAGACTGTGAATTAAATGCATTTCAAGCTCACAAAATTTTACTCATCTCGCCCTACTGTAAATGTTAGTGCTACACAGTTTTAAAAAGTAGAACTTTAATCTTAGGTTGCGCTGTGTGTATTAAAGCAACGCTTTTCTCAAAAAAATACTCATGATTTTCTTTAAGTTTTTGCAAAGAACACAAGGGTTGGAGTGTTAAAATGTGGCAATGTGTCAGACAAAGCACAAGTTAAACAAAGTCAATGTTTGGTGGCTACTAAACTGACACTTCAATCCCAGATATGTTTTACCTTCTGTTGAGTAGTCTGTTTAGCAATTATGATTTGGGGTGCAGTCATTGCCAATGGCCATGCTGGTTTACACCTTTTTGTTTCAGATTGAGTTACTAGACACATTCTTTGTAATTTATGCTGTTGTTTTTTGAGATAAGATATTTTTGAAGGGATTCTCTGTATAAAAGCTGTTCAAAGTTGAATCTTATTGGATCTTAAATCTTTTATTTGCTATAAAACATATTAAAGGTTTGAAAAAGAATGGAAAGTTGAGCAGTAATCATTTATGCGATCTTCAGTCTAGTGTTTTACAATTCTTGTCTAGTTTATGTACATATGTAACCAGCTGAGTTGTCAACAGCTTTATTAGACAAAATGCTTGGAATCTTGTTTGGTTTGAAAATGTTTTTGAAAACTTCTGAAACTGCAATCAAAATTTAACAAGAATATTCCAAATTTTTGTCAAATGTTATGAGGGTTAACACAGATTTTTTATCAAATATAATGAAGTGTAACACAGATCTTTTGTCAAATGTTATGAAGGGTGACACAGATCTTTTATTTCAGATAAATTATTTTGCTCCGTTTCCCAAATAGTTTTAGTTCTATTTCATGGTCAGGCTACTGTTGAAGTAGGGTTTATAGGAAACAAAATGGTTCTTGTTAAAAATCTTGACATGGAAAACATTTTTTCTCAGTAATTGTTATGGGACTATATCAACCAAATTAACTCCTTGTTTCAAAAATATCACCAATCACTTTAAAAAATTCCACTTTCAAAAAAATCTAAATTGGAACTGTATGTTTTATAAATATAATTCAAAAAATGTTATAAATAAAAATATTAATAATATTAACAAACATTACTAGATAAGTACAATATATAAATGATAAATGAAAGTTTGTTTAATTATCATATAAAAAGTATTTATTTTTTTTCATCTGTTTTGGTTTATGCTCTATATTGTTTTTTTTAATGCTTTATCCATTTGTTTAGATTCATGTAAGAAAACATGGTGATGCTAAAAAGTATGTTGCACATGTCATTCATGTTGCCCATCAATTTGACATTGCAATGGTTAGTAATACATGTTTATCAAGCTTTGGAAAGCCATTTTAAAGGTTATCTTTCCTATGCTATATATAATAAGTTTATTTGATTAGTATAAATATTTCTTTTTTATTTCTTTTATTTTGCATTAAACTATTTTAGGTTGGAGTAGCTGATGAAGCATTCTGGGAAGATTTAGAAGCTTTGCAGTTTGGTGATATTCCAGAGTTAGAAGAAGATGTAGTTGTTGTAGGTTTTCCAACTGGAGGTGATAACATTAGTGTGACAAGAGGTGTAGTTTCTAGAGTTGATATACAAAGATACTCACATTCTGGCACTCATCTTCTTGCTATACAAGTAATGTTTTATGTTAATCATTGATGACTTTTATGTCAAAATTAAAAATATTTCTCATAGTCTGCTAATTAGGCTTTTAACACTCCCATGAACGTTTTCTTTTAAATATTTTTTTATACCTTAAAAACAATTAATAAACTTTTTTTTTTCTTTTTTACCTATATTTTTACATAGTTAATTTTGATATTTTGAAAAATGTTTTTGTAGTATGGTATATATATAATAAGATTTGGTTAGTTGCATCTCAATCTTAAGATATTGTTTTTAGCTTTCTAGTGTTTTTTGACAAGCGTAACCTAACATCTGACTAAGATTTTTTTTTTTTTTTTATAGTGACAACACATCTATCTGTTCATTATTCTCCCTGCTTTTTTTTCAGATATATTACCATCTTTCATAGCTCTTTTCTACTATTGTACAATAAACTTTGGGAGTTTTGTTTTATTTATTATAAATGTTTTAAATGATTAAATTTAAAATTTTCATTTGGCAGAATTCGTAAGACTATAAAGGGAAGAGGATGTTTTTTAAAGTGGATTTAGACTAAACTTGTATGTCTTTTTTTGTGTGTTTAGATTGATGCAGCAATTAATGCTGGAAATAGTGGAGGACCAGCCCTCAAAGATGGTAAAGTAGTTGGTATTGCATTTGAGACTTTAGATAATGCAGAGAATATAGGATACATAATACCAGTAAGTTAAAGTTGTTTTTTAGATTATATTTTTAGTTATATTTTTTACCCGACACTTTGATATTTTTAAAATTCTCTTTTTAGAGTCCAGTAGTGAATCATTTCTTAACAGATATAGAAAAACATAATACATTCACTGGCGTGTGTAACTTGGGTATTCGTTGGCAACCAATTGAAAGTCAGCATATGCGAACTTATTTTAAACTTTCACCTAAGGAAACAGGAATTCTTGTTTCGACTACATTAAAACTTTCATGCAGTTATGATTTCTTACAAAGAGGTGATGTGTTGATGTCTCTCAATGGTGTGACTATTGCTGATAATGGAACGGTTGTTTACTTGTTTGTTATTTTTGTATACAATATTTTAAATTGGTTTGACCATTGCTGATAATGGATAAGTGTTTGTAAATGTCTTAAAATGTTGTCAAGTGTACCAGGATTTCCTCTGGACTCTATGTATTTTCAATATGTGCAAGACAACTTTTGATTGCATTTTTAATAATAAACAAAAACAAAAGCAGAATTTTTTTTCATATATACTTTGCATACTTTGCTACACATGTTGCCAAGTTAAACTCATCATAGCCTAATTGTGGCCTATGATAAAGTTGAGTTTACAATTTTATATATTAAAGAAAACATATTACCAATTAAAATAACTCTTGTCTCGCTTGAGCTTATGAGATGATGTATGGACATTTTGTTGCCACTATCACATTATGTCAATTGCTATATGCACAAATGATTGCTTTTATCTTTATCTCAA